TGCCACCATCCCAGTTGATACCAATTGAATTTATAAAATACATATTTTGGATGTTGATGATGTTCTGGACGCAGCGGCGCAATCCATTTCATCATCGGACATCATGCTATCTCCGTAGAGGCTAATGTTCTCGATATGCGCGTCCTTACATTATATTGGGATTGCTTCGAGATACATGCCACTAATCCGGATGCTTCAAATTGAATAAACAAAATCTACTTTTTAGAGGTTGGTAACGCTCCGGACACAGTGACGAAGTCCATATCACAATCAGATGTCATTTGGATAGTGTCAAAGCTAATTTTTCTTAATAAATGTGCCATCGCATTTGGATCCATGCCACCATTCCGGATGATCCAGATTGATTAAATAAGAACTATACTCTTAATGTCGACGACTTTCCGGACACAATGACGTAGTTTGTTTGGAAATCATATTTGACCCTTCAAGTAGCGCATCATATCAACCCACGCGTTGCTCGATTCATCATTCTCGTCTTTTTCACATGTAGTTTGAGTGATAGGGGTCAACAAATGCCCCTAAACAAATGTGATATGCGTCTAGAAAGTATCATGTTTATTGTGAGTCGGTTGACAGTTTTCGTTAGTCCCCTTTTTCAGCATTTTTTTGTCATTATTACTATTTTTTGACACATTTTGCTTGTTTTTCCTGTGCAGGGAATGTTCTGCTGGCAGAGATCCGATGACCTGCCTCCATGCGAGCCTAGCGAGGCTGCTATTTAGGAGGCTATTGACAGACAGGACCCCCAGGGTAGTGTTGATATTCGGGATAGACTAGAGCAACACCAGGACATGCTGCAGGGGCGGGACCTCTTCCACAGTTTCTTTGCCAGTTCCCCCTTATTTTCAGAGCTCTCTAAAGATTCTATTTCTTTTGAGGACCCGGACAGGTGGGTCACCAGTCTCAGGTTACAGTACGGGGAGTACCACCCATTAAAGAGTTTTGTGGCACAGGTCGGCTGGGGCACCTATGACGTTTTAGTGCCTATCATAGACAAAGTTGAGACAGTTGGGCAATTTAGCTTGCTTAGCCATCGTCAGCTACCGTCGTCACCTTTAGAGTGAACATGGGACTCGACACTTGGACAGGTTCAGAGTCCAGCCAGCGGCTACGTTTGTTGGGTCCGCTATGTTTTGCAAGTGCACAGGGGTACACTATAAGAGGCAGTGATCTACGAGGCAGTGTATGCCTCGCTGTTTGACTACAGACGCCTCCCTACTTCTTAGGCTCGCGGTTTGATAGAGTTTTGGGACTCGGGCAGAGTTACGTGTTAGGTCGTGGTAGAGAAGCTTACTGTGACACTCTCAAGCTTACAAATAGTGTCCCGTCTACCAGTCTTTGGTTACCGCTTTGAGGAGCGTCCCTTCAGACGAGCAGTTGTTTCAACAATTTCCCTTAGCGGATGGTGATAGGAGAGGAAGAGCTACTCTCAGACGTTTACCCTACAGTTTTAGAGCACTACCAACGGACCTTCAGAGCTTCAGACTTGTCGAGGCGTGGTAGGGCTTCCATGCCTGTGGATGTCTGGATCCACAGTTCTCCAAGAGAGGTACTTGTCTCTCGTTACGGTGTCACTGCACGATCTATTTGGCTTCAGTTTGCAGCGCGGTGCTCCGCTGTCAGAGGACGCCGAGCCTTCTTCTTCATCTAGTTACACTTACCCAGGTTTTGCAGGGATCGATGAGGGTCTACTTTTGACGGGTTTCTTGGCTCTTTGGCTCAGCACCTTCAAACTCCCACTTCGGACAGGCTCTTTGAGGTGCAGTGTTTTGTTGGCAGCCAGCCAGTTGGCACAGGGACATAGACTTGCTCTAGCTTCTGCTGTTCTTGCAAGAGTGTACAGAGTTATGCAGACCGTTTTTTAGGCCAGCTCTTTAGAGGTACGAGATTCAATTTTGTCGTGGTAGTGCTTGTACACCTGGGTTCACTTACACGTCCAGTGTGTCTTTTCCTGTATAAAGATTCCAGCTTACTTGTAGAGAGGGTACCCTATGGTTTTACAGTTGTCTCAGGCGTCTTCCACCTTTGAGTCAGAGAGGATCCGCCTCTTCTTTTTCGTCCGCCAGCTAGTTACAGGCTGGTTTTTCCTAGTTCCCCAGCTAGATGTTGTCAGTTTACGGCCTTATGAGAGCGGTACTGTTGTTGTGGACGGGATTGACCACAGAGGGAGCCGTACTTTACCGCAGAGGAGACAGAGTTTGACAATTGCTGAGTACTTCATTAGCATGCGTCCAGGCTGGTTGTGTTACAGGCAGGTGCTGTAGTGACTTTGGAGGGTTACCAGCCTAGTAGGATGGCTGGAAAATTTGGACTCTCTTAGGCCACAACTTTCGACGGACGACCACTTGTCCTCGGGGCTCCAAACACACGACGCATGGACACAGTTCCACTAGAGACCCGCCTCTACGCTGCAGCTCTTACTTGGTTACACTTGTTGAGGATCGGGACAGGTTCCAGTTTTCTTTTTGCTCAGTCGTCTGCTCACACGAGCGTTAGTTACACACAGCTGTCTTGGGTACGACAGTCTTTTGGACCTGCTTTGGAGCACGGTGCGATGATGTATGAGCGCCGAGTACGGGAGCTCGGGTTACCGAAGGGATAGAGGTCCCTTCGAGTCTTCCAGAGACTGCAGGTAGCAGAGGTACTTTTCTACCCTTCTCCTCTTCTCTTTCTTGTTAGCATTTAATTTGATAGATATTTAATTATTTTATGTCTGTCAAATTAAATGCTAACCATAAAGAAAAGAGGAGAATGGTAGAAAAGTACCTCTGCTACCTACAGTCTCTGGAAGACCCCGATGGGACCTCTATCCCCTCGGTAACTCAAGCTCTCGTACTCGGCGCTAGTTCCTCATCGCACCGTTCTCCAAGGCAGGTCTAAAAGACTATCGTTCCCAAGACAATTGTGTGTAACTAACACTTGCGTGAGAAGACGGCTCAGCCAAAAGAAAACTAGAACTTGTCCCGAGCCTCAGCAGTGTAACCAAGTAAGATGTGCAGCGTATAGGCGGGTCTTTAGTGGAACTGTGTCCATGCGTCGTGTGTTTGGAACCCCGGGGACAAGTGGTCATCCGTCGTAAGTTGTGGTCTGAGAGAATCCAAATTTCCTTGTCACCCTGCTGGGTTGGTAACCCTCTAAAGTCACTATAGCACCTGCCCTATAACACAATCAGCCTAGGCGCATGCTGATGAAGTACTCAGCAACTGTCAAACTTCGTCTCCTCTGCAGTAAAATACGCCTCCCTCTGTGGTCGATTCCTTCCACAACAACAGTACCTCTATGGTGAGGCGGTAAACTGACAACATCTGGTTGGTAAACTAGGAAAAATCTGTCTGTAACTAGCTGTGGGGCGAAGAAGAAGAGGCGGATCCTCTCTGACTCAAAGGTGGAAGACGCTTGAGACAACTGTAAATATGTAGGGTACCCTCTCTACAAGAAGTAAGCTTGAGTCTATATAGGAAAAAGCACCATTGGCGTGTAAGTGAACTCAAACGTACAGGTACTACCACGGCAAAATTAAATCTCGTACCTCCAAAGAGCTGGCCTCAGAAACGGTCCGCAGAACTCTGTACACTCTGGCAAGAACAGCAGAAGCTATAGCAAGTTTCTGTCCCTGTGCCAACTGGCTGGCTGCCAACAAAATACTGCACCTCAAAGAGCCTATCCAGAGTGGGAGTACGAAGGTGCTGAGTCAGAGAGTCAAGAAACCCGTCAAAAGTAGACCCTCGTCGATCTCTGTCAAACCTGGGGAAGTGTAACCAGCTGAAGAAGGCTCGGCGGTCTCCTCTGACAGCGAAGCACTATGCTGCAAACTGAAGCCAAACGGGTCGTGCAGTAACGCCATAATGGGAGACAAGTACCTCTCATGGAGAAAACTGTAGATCCAGACATCCGCATGCATGGAAGCCCTAGCACGCCTCGACAAGTTCGAAGGTTCATCGATAGTGCTCTAAAACTGTAGGGTAAACATCTGGGAGTAGCAGTTTGCCTCCTATCACCATCCACTATGAGAACTCGTTGAAACAATTGCTTGTCTGGAGGGACGCTCCTCAAAGTGATAACCAAAGACTTATAGACCGGACACTGTCTGTAAGTCTAAGAGTGTCATAGTAAGCACCTCTGCCCAAGTCCCAAAACTCTACCAAACCGCGAGCCCAAGAAGTAGAGAGTCGTCCGTAGTAAAACAGCGAGGCGTACACTACCTCGTAGATCCCTGCCATTTGTAGTGAGCGCCTGCAAAATGTAGCGGGCCCAACAAACGTAGCCGCTGACTGGACTATGAACCTGTCCAAGTGTCGAGTTCAGTGGCCACTCTAAAGGCGACGACTGTAGCTGAAGGTGGCTAAGCAAGCTAGACTGCCCAATTGGCTCAACTGTGTCTGCGACAGACACTAAAACGTCGCAGGTGCCCCAGCCGACCTGTGCCACAGAACTCTCTAACGAGTGGTACTCCCCGTACTGTAAACTGAGACTGGTGACCCACCTGTCCATGTCCTCAAAAGCAACTGACATAGTTGGGTTAGTTATAATTTTTTTGAAATTTATCTTTAAGTCTTCATGATATTCTCTTACCATATAAAGCTCTTTAGAAATTTATTTATTTTAATTACCTAACATTAACTCCAAAAAATTATATCCTCATATGTATTCCATTTATTTTTAATGTTAGATCCATGGTACTTATAGTTATCATACTTAGTTATCACTTTATCTTCTTATGTTATTGATTGATAATTTGTAATATCACACCCACTAAAATTACATATCTTTTAGTCAATTCTTTGTTATGCTTCTAAGTCCTCTAAACATTTTCTCCAGTATTCGATCTTTCCTTGTATTTTAAGTTTTCAATAAATGTCATATTGATTAAAACTGTTTGTGATTGTTATTTTGTCTAAAAGTTTCTGTATTAGTTTGTCGTTACTATTTCATAATTAGCGTGCTGTTCCACTGATGAGTTCTTATTACAATGGATACAGAGTATTGACTTTTTATTGACTGTGATTAACAATGAAGAAGTGTCAAACGTTCTTCTTCAACCCTGGATAAAGCTGGGTTTGCTAAATCTTGTAGTTAACTTATTATCCTGTGAGATGAGCAACGTAGATGATGAAAACAAGCCAAACAGGTAGTTAATTACTGCTCTTTTTCTTTCTTTATTTCGTGTTTTGCACTTTTGGAGTTGCTCTTAACATGATCCTATCCTACTCTTTTCGATTTTATGTTTGTTTGTTACTTTCCTACTCTTTTCCTTGTGGATCAAGATCTCATTATAGACTTGCACCATAATTTAATTTGGTGGAAAATACAAGTTGTAAGGTTCTAAGTTTCCTACTTTTTATTATTTTAATTTATTTTTGCAGTGCTTGTTGATGTCTTAGTTCATTAGGATAAGGGCTCTGGGAATGCATTCATAAGCTTATACTATGCCAATTACTATGTTCATATGATTATATATATATATATATATATATATATATATATATATATATATTTGTGCACTTTTCCTATTGGTAAAAATTACTGAAGAAATACTTGATGATTCTGCCATTTCAAACCATTCAAATAAAAAATGACTTCTGTTTTAGTTGAACAAACATAAGTACAAGCAAACGTTTTATCTTACTATATCTTTAGAAGAAAAAACAAAGTCGGGAAGGAAAAATATCTGACTATGAATTCAATTTTTCATTATTTAACATTTTAACTATATCACACTAAAATCAATTATTGCTTTCTTTGTTTATTTGAATTATAAATGTGCTCCTAGATTGAGAGTACATTTAATAAATTTTTTTATTATGCTATTCTTTTTGCATTACTTTTAAATGTCAATGTTTGCCTGGTAATTGTGCTCCTACTTTTAATTATGCTATTTTAGAAGGATGTTTGAATTCAGTGCATTAATGAACTGCATAATTTTCTAGTAGGAATAAAATTTTCAATCCAGTTCATTCAATGAATGAAAAATTTTCTGATATTTGCTCTTAATATTAGCATCCAAGTTACCTCCGCATAGGAGATGATAAATTGGATACCTTCTGCGCAATTGTGATTAGCTCTTATAGTACGATCTAACTTTTTTCATACTGTATAATCTTGTACAAACTCATGATCAGCATTAGGCTTTTGAACTTCTTGTGGGCAATGGATGTCCTAAGTCACTCAAGAGGTTGTTTTTGTTATAGTTATTTGTTTTTGTGTGCTCCAAATTACAATGAAGGTGATGTGAAACGTAATCGGAATTGCACGGAGAAACAATAAGACAATTGAATAAGCAAGTCAATATAAAGATTTACTGAGTCACAATTAATGATTTAATGAAATCTCAGTTGCAAAGTTGTTTAGGCAGTGTTACAAACTCATTAGGCAAGACAATTTAAAACAATAACAAACATGCTGAGTAATGACAAATGCACGTTAACAATAATCCGTAGGTTAATATGTAGAAAAGTCATCTTGAGTTTCCCTCACTCAAGCTCTCTTGCGGTTAACGGAAGAAAGATATTAGCAATACTGACGTGATCACCACGAGTAAGAGGGAGCTTACAATACTGTCCACAGGAAAGCTCGTCGGAGTTGGAGGAGTCGGTGGAAGGTGTAAGAGTTGCCACTTGGATGGAAGGTAGTATTCGTCGATGGCGGTTTATAGAGAAAATAGTATATGATCCACGTAATCCTCAACGGTTGCGTCGATCTCTACATTGACGTCACAGAAAAGCGATCTCAAAATGTCCACAGGTCCTTGGGAATCAAAGACGAATCTATGATCAACATCCGGATTGACCATGCATAATTGTCCATGAGAAAATGTAGAGAGGGAGAGGAGGGCTGGTCAGTTGGAGGAGAGCGGTGAGAGAACCTAGTTGGAATCTAGGTGGGGAGGGAACAAATCTGAAATTAATTTCAGATTTCCCTAATTTAATTTGAGGTTAAAGGAGTTTCAAAATTTGAATTTGAAAGTAAGTATTAGAGAGGGAAATATGGGAGTAATTGGGCTTTAATTGGAACCTTGATTTAAGCCACAATTAGGGAAGCTAATTAAAGGGGTGGTCGGCCATAAAGGGGACTTGGGAGGGAATTAATTAGTGCTTAGGTGGCAAAGTAGAAATAGAAAGAGAGAGAGAGGGGACGGCTTAAGAAGGCCGGCCAATTAAAGAGGGGAGAGAGGGCTTTGTTTTAATTGGGTGGGTTTGGAGGGAGTTGGATTTGAATTTGAATTTAAATTCAAATAAGGCTTGAATCTTAAATGGGCATTAAATGGGGGAAACCCATTGATGGGCCGGCGGCATGCTTAGGGGAGGAGGGAGAAGGGGAGAGAAATTAATGCCTCTTAATGCATTAAACCCATTTAAGCAATGGAATAAGAAATCCTATTTAATTAAATATTAAATTAGATTTGGATTGAAAACTTTTCTAATTTGGCTTGGCTAATTTGGTAAAGTATTTGAATTTCAAATTGAATGATGGCTTTCCAAAATCATGTAAGCTAAATTAGGTAGGTCTTAATGGTGATTAAACTACCATTAAGTGGTGAAAAGAAGGGTGGCCGGCGGTGGTGGTGGGATTTGGCTGGTGGGAGGAAAGATGGAGGAGGAGACGGGTGATGGGGAGAAATGGGTGGGGGTTATATGTTTGAGGGAGGGGGGAATGGATGTCGGCGGTATGGGGGAAGAATGGAAGAGGTAGGATACAATAAAATAGAAAAAACCAAGAGCTCACCCGCTGGTGGGCTGTTGGGTACTCCGATGACCTCTCATAAGCTTCACCAATCACATGAACTCACTAAGAGATCTCTAAGAAAATAAACTGGAATTTCATTCATCAAATCATCATCCCCACATACAATAGAAATGACCTATATATAGGCCTCACTAAAAGAAAAGAAACAAAGACTAAAATGCCCTTGAGGCTACAACATCAAATGACCACCCATAAGGGTAAAACAGTAAAACTGAAAATAAAATAAAATAAATGAATCAAAAATATAAGCTCCTGATCGTAGCCGTCGATCTCCGGTGTCTCCTCTGATAAACGCGCCGAAATCTCCTGCTGATGTCCTCATCAGAAGGTGACTTAACTAATGCTTTAGGCTTGCCCTATGAAGTTGGGACGGTTGATATAAGCGTAAAATGTCTAATAAGGAACTTGCAGTTAATATTTAGATGGCGATTCTATTTCTTACATCAAATTTAAATCTAACATGAATAATTTTCAGCATTTTATCAATTGAATTGGAATGAGGGAAAAGTAAATATCTGTATGCTTATTGTTAGTTTTTTTTTTTTGCAGGACGTCTTTTCTTGATCCAGTTTTATGCTTAGTTGAAGCACTTTCTAACATTGACTGTGGTTTGGAAACGATCTTTCCAAATGAGGAACTCTGTCATTTGGTCTGCCGTGTCATCAAGCTACCTGAGAAATATGAGGTTAGCATTGTTTGAAATTTTTATTATCTTCAATCTTAACAAGTTAGCAATCAGATTTAACACTTACAAGCCACTTCATATATCAAATCAAGGATCAAAACTTAACCAGAGATTAGTTACGAGTCTAGATCTGCCACTAAACTGGAACATTGCTGCCATTCCATGGCTGGCAATACTTGACATGCGCTGTGATTACTGGCTCAAGAAACTGCCAAAGGATAAATGTAATTGTCAAGAATTTATCAGCAAAATGGGGGTGGACAGGCATACTTGTTTCCTGCTACAAAGTATGCCACAGTTGCTTACTTTGGCCCAAACAGGATTACGACTATTGATGGGTTATGCGGCCATGCATATTTGCATGCTAATGTTTTATTTATGTATTTATTTATTTATTTATAAATATATATTTTTGAGCAAAATCCTTAATTTTGAATGATTGAGTTTTAAGATAACATCTACATCAAGTTTATAAATTTAAAATAGTTTATATGGATTTTGACATATACGAATTGATTAAGGAAACATAAATATTCTTTATTCTAATCTTTACCTAATTGTTAAAATAATTAATTGAATTTTATGTAATTAAAAAAAGTGTGTAGAGGAATATTGGAAGGTTGAGAATTTGGCAATGGAGAGCCGTTAGGACAGTTATGTTATCATGCATGACGGTAGTGCAAATAAAATATAAGGAAATGAGAGGGTAAGGGAAAGGAGGATAAAAAGAAAAATGTCGTGACAGCATTCTCAACGGATATCAACTTCATTCATTAAGCATGTGATTCCAACACGAGGCCTCCTTCCCAGGAGACCGTCACGCGGAGGGGAAGAAGAAAAACATAATGGCAATGGACATGTCTCATTTTGGCAACCGAGGGTGGCCATGTAAACCAGAATTCTTCCACTTGCATCATTTGACTCTCCTAGATTAAAGAGAAATTATTTGATGCATACGACACACATATAAATTATTGAGTATTTGAAAAGCGCAGCAAAAGCACAGCAAAAGGGCAACAAATACTCAATGAGTAAAATATTTGTTGTGCTTTTGCTACGTTTTTGTTGTATTTTTGTAAATAAGCGGTAAAAGGGCAGCTAATATGCAATTAAAATTGTGTATTAGCTACCTTTTACAAAATATATCAAAAGCGCAGCAATCCGGATGCAAGCTTGTGTCTGGTGTCTGTACAGAATAATTTGCCCTAAGCTGAAGGGCATAAACCGACTGACATTATTTATGAACTCGTGGCTCTTGCTTCTCTCTAGTATCTGTAATATACTGATTGTGCAGGTTTCAGTCATGGCCTATACCTTGATTCCAAAAAGTTAGGCTAGGGAAAGTGATGGGGACATCAGTTGGAAAGTCTACCGTCGACGTGGCCGTAGATCAACGGCCACAATTTATCCGATGTACTTTTGATTTTTTTTTTATTGTCTACTTATTGATGTATCTTTTAATTTCAGCAATTTTCCTTTTTACCCTTGCTTGAGGGATCGAGTCATGTAGCCCCTTGAGGGTATTTGAGTCCTTTTATTTTGAGTCATTGTAGAGGGTATTTAAAGCCTTCATCTTGTTCTTTTGAGGTTAATGAATGATTATGAAGAATTTACCCTTGCTTGAGGGATCGAGTCATGTAGACTCTTGTGTTTTGAGTCATTGTAGAGGCTATTTAAAGCCTTCATCTTATTCTTTTGAGGTTAATAAATGATTATGAAGAATTTTTCCTGCATTCGTGTTCTTGAAGCTTGGGTGAGCTTGAGAGAAAGTTTGAGAGTTTGGTGGAGCCTAGGAGAGGCCACCCGTCGTACCCAACAGCCACCACCGGTGCCTCTTGGTCCTCCTCCCTTTTCTCCTCCCTTCTCCTTCCTACCATCATCGACCATCTCCACCGCCGACCTCATTCCATAATCCCATCTCCCCAAGCCCCCCCCCAACCTAACCACCAACCCAATCCCTTTTTCTACATTGGCTCCTCCACCTGCCCCACTCAAGCCAAACCCGCCGCTGGCCACCCTTGTTTGCCTCCATGAATGAGGAGTTAATGCCTCCTTAATGCTTACCTAAAGAGTTTAAATAATTTGGGAAATTATTTTCATCATTTGAAATTCAAATAGTTTCCTAAATTAGAGAGTTATTTTAGGAAAGTATTGACTCTCATTCATGATTATTTTCAAATTTAATTTGGGCGGAATTTTTGTCCTCCAAAATTAAAGAGATTATTTAGGAAGGGAATTTAAATTGCTCCACAAAACCCTCTCTCCCTCCCTCTACATGCCGCCGGCCTCCCCCTTGCTTGGACCCTCTCCATCAATGCTCAATTAAGGCCATTGATTGTAATTAATTTAAAATCCAAATTCAAATTAATTCCCTCCACTTTTAATCAAAATTTAAATTTATTTTCAGATTTTGAACTTAGATTTACATCACCTTCTTTTAACCTAAGCTCTCCAAACCCTAGCCCTTCCCCACCTCCCTACACCGCCGGCCTCCTTCCTCACCTCCACCTCCCTCCTACTTCTTCTCTCTCGTGTTCTCTCCTCACATGATTATGATGCTTGACCGATCCGGAGTTTGATTCCAGCTTCGCATACGATGGCCAAGGCATCGTGGATCTTCTCAAATTGCCAGTCGTCGATGTGAGCCCATGCATTGACAGATCCATAGAAAGTCCGTCGATCACATGATATTCGATTTGACCAAGCCTTTGGAAGATCAACTATTGGAAGGTACGTGGTGAATCAAGACGTTTCTCCGAGAAGGTGATCTTCTTCCTTGACTCGTGTACTTTCATATTCTACTTACTTCATAGAGAGATTGTTCAAGCAAGAGATTGTGTCTACTTATCGCCATCCACTAGTAAGCGTAGGATTGTTACTTTTTTGCTTTTGGATCTCATTGTTAGGCCAAGGTTATGTTGGAAACTACTCCGCATGCAACGCTTTGATTTTCCTAAATGTTTTGATTTCACTTAGTCTCTTGCATAGCTTAGCCTAAACGGAAGTAACCACTTATTAGTTTTATTTTGTTGTTTTAGTTGCTAATAACGAAAATCCAAAATTGTTCTTTAACTATTTTGTGCAAGTTTCCTATTTCGCATTTAGTCCTGCATCAGAAAGAAATTTTAATTACTAGCATCATCTAATGTTAATTTTCCATTACCTCAAAAAAAAAAAAGGGAATTTAGAAGTTTTTTATCATTTGTGGTTGATCAAACATTAAAATTTAGTGGCCTTGATTTGCAAGCTTGTAGTATTATCGAGCTAAATTCCTTTTTTATCTTCCAAGTTTTATTTATTTGACAACCTAGTTATTGAAGTAAATTGCATGGCGTTTAAAGCAACTAAATCTGCATGATTCGTTTGTTGGGTGAACATAAGCATGGCTAGATAACTCTAAAAGCCGTCGTGTTGTATATACATGTTTTAATCAGTTGCTCATATGCTACTTGCAATCCTCAACTTGATATGTAATACAAGGTTGCTGCTGTCAAAATGTATAACTATGTGCATAAATTTTTAAATTTTCGTACTTGTCTCTCTATGCTAATGGATTTTTCATATTTCTGAATGTCAAATAGCTTTCTGCTTCCAATCTGCATTCTAACTATGACAGAACATGGTGATAATAATATTCAGCCAAGGTATCATCTCCCCCAAGGGCTTTCTAAATCACATATGCCATCATTATTAGAACCATATGCTTTAAGCGGCAAGTAAGATTTGACTGTTTTTTTCAACATCTTATTATAATATTCTAGCTTTTTAGTCCTACAGTAGGGACTTAGGGACAGAATGCAAAATGAGTTAATATGTGAGAGATTGGAATAGCTCCAATGGCAGATAAGATTAGAGAGTTTGGTCACATAAGACATCTACCTTCTAATGACACATTTAGAAGAGTAGATGTATTAGATTCGACCTATGTTAAGAAAGGTGAAGATATACCTAAAAAGATTTGATTAGAAAGTATTAGAAATGACCTTTTTTTTAATTAGATTTAAATGAGAATTTGACTCTTAATAGGACAAAATGGAGAGAGGGATTCATATGGCCGACCCCATGTAGCATGATAAAAGTTTGATGTTATTATTGTTGTTATCGTTGTTGCTATATCTTATCGTTATTAAAAAAATGCAAAATGTGATTAAATGGCATTTGAGAATGGATTATCGTATGAGTTCTAGCCTCCAATTATAATATCTTACCATAAAAGTTAAATTTATGTCTTCTCGCATCTATTTTATGAATAACACTTATTTTACATTTGGATTAGTACACTAGCTCCTGTGTCTCCGCGGTAGTGATAATTGCAAACCTCTTGTTGGATGGGAAGCATATTGCATCGCAACTTTCACAAGGTAAGGAAACACATTAGACTTCCAATAGATTTCCACCTTCAAATCAACCAGCTGCAGCTAATAGTTTCTTATTGGAATGCCTAGATCCTGAATTCTTACAGGGCCTTCTTGAAACCATCCCTTTTGTTTCTGATGATCTGCAAGCCCGTGACGCTCTCTGGTGCATCTTAGAGACATTGTTGGTTCAAATTGAAGAGAGAGAGATCAGCATTTCATCCCTTCACCATATTGTGTCATTATTTACAGAGAAATCCAGTCTCATTATGGATGACTTGGATGGTCATTATATGGAGTATTCCAACCCTTTGAATGGTTCCAACACTGGTGCAATAGTCAGAACCGTATCCTGTTCATCTGATTAAAACAAAAATCCTGTTCATCTGATACTTTAGTCAGAAAATTGAATACTTTATTGAGTTTTAAAGTTTATTGTTGTTCTCTTATGATAAAACCATTATATTACTTGCAATTGCAATTATCTGTTTATCTCCTTTACCTTGATTGCTACAGCTTTTGAGAATTGCTTGCATCATAGATGAATGGTATGCCCGGAAAAATGAAAAGATTGAGGAAACTGCAAATATTGTTGATTCTGATGCCAAAGTTCGAAGGCTGCTGCATTACTGCAGTAAGTACAGTTCTATGTTTTCGTCTCCAAATGCACAAGAATAGGAAGAACATAATGGAAGAAATAAAGGTTCAAAAAGTTTCTTTGCATCATCTTACCTTACTTTTCTTCATAGTAAATATTGTTTTGATTTTATTTTCTTCACCTTCAAGAACATTCTTTGTGCGCTTCTGTTACACTATGATATCAAGGTACCATTATTGTTTATATGATTTTGCTGCCATTTATAAAATTGGAGAAATTATTCTATGTGCTCATCGGATCGTTCAGAGTTGAATCAGAATGTAACATGCCACCCGGTACACAGCACTGGTATACAATAAAAAAATGATGGGATGTATGCTGATTCGTCTTTGGACGGCGTCCGGTGATAAAATTGAGCTTTGCTTGTCAATGAGAAACATGTGGTATTCTGACTGAAACATATTATACCTCTAAACAATTCTTAAACTCCGACTCTAAAGTAGAAACATTTCTCTTTCGAATGCAAGAACATAATGGAGGAAATAAATTTTATTAAGATTTTGTTCGAGACGGTTTTCTTATTGTTTTTTAAAATAAAATTGCTTTAAGAAACAGTAAGAAAGCATTTCAACGGCTTTCTTACTGCTACTTAAATCAGCTTTTTAGCACAAAAGTTAAAATTTATGTGTTAGAAAGCTGCTTTAAGAAATAGTAAAAAAACAGTTCCAAATGAAGACAGCTTTTATTTGGGAGATTTTTTTACTGCTTATTAAAGTAATTTTTTAATAAAAATTTAATTTTTTTTACAAATAAATTATTTTAAAAAGTAATAAAAAAAACTAAATATCATAAGTATGAACCATGGCACTGTACTCTTCAGAAGGATTAATGTGTATGTTCGCACGAATATCATAAAATCCATCAAACGTCATTTTTTTGGGTGGATATGATTAAGGCTTCGTTTGTTTTATTTTCCGTTTTGGTATAAAAAACGTCAATAGGAGAAAATGTCTTTTTAAAATGTCTTTTTAAAACGGAAAAGCTAATATAGAATGCTTCTCAAAACAATACAAAAATGGAGTTTTTAAAAAAGTCTGCTACACATTCAAACATATTCCACTACTTCGTTTTTCAATTTCAAATGAAAAAAAAAAGAGAAATAATGTGGAAACAAATGAGCCCTAAATCCATTAAAAAAAAGGCAAATCAATCACAACAACACAGTTTTGGTGGGTCTGCTTAAGCTTTGGGTCAAATTCTAGAGCCTGCGACATTTCATCAATTATCATAATAAATGTAAAGAATTCGAGAGAAAGCTTGGGATGACATTTTGTAAATGCCTTCCTTGCGTTCACTTCTCTAAGATTAATTTATTATTTAAAAAAAAAAAACACATATTTTCAAACCTGAATGTGGACAGATTATTTCTTGCGTTATTAAATATATTTTTAATATTATATTTTCATGTTTTATTATAAAAAGGAATGTTAAGAATAAATAAACTTCAGAAAGTGTATATAATATTTTTTTTTATTTCTATAAAAAGAGAGATTTTTAGAACTTTTGAATAATTTGGGTTTTGATTGATAAGCTAAATTTCAGCTGTAGTTTTATGCTCATGTTGATTTGAATCATTTAGCTATTTAGGCTTAGTTTGAGATGGATTTTTATTGTTTCTTAAAGCAGAACAAACACAAGCATAAGTTCTTCAAAAAAGATTAATATTCATCAATATCTCTAATCTTCTTACATCATTCCATATATACTAATCAAGTAGAAAAACTTAGAAGATTCTAAAAACATTTAACAAACTAAATCAGATATCCTAAGAAATATTTTAAGCTAAAATGTTTCACATCATTAAGGGTCACTATTATTGTATTAAGAGCTCAAATTTTCTTATCATTATTCTCTGCTCTGCTCTCTTGAGGATATCAACATTTATAACATGAATGACTGGAGATGACAGACATAAATCAATACTAAAAACTTTTATTACGCAGGAATCAACATTGCTGAGGAGAAAGAACCTCTGAGCTTAAGATGCCAAATCGACAATCAAACTCCACTCATTAATGAGCTTGCAAGCCATTGATTCAAGCTTTAGCAGGCCATGAATTGGCTCATCACATGAAGAGCCACTGGGTTCTCCAAACACTAAACAATGGCTGTATATAACTACAAAACTTGCGGTTTGAAAAGCTAAACTGAGAAAATCAAACGATAATTGTTGCCCCAAGTGAAAATATCAAAATTGACTGCTAAATATCGGTTGCATAATAAAAAGGGCCTTATTAAAGGCTCTAAAGTAATTGTTGCCCCAAGTGAAAATGAATTCCAAGTCTCACAAATTAAGCATTTAGCATTAGAATTGGGAAAAAAAATGGTGGAGCAACTCTCTCAACTTCTATATCATATTCCAGAGCCTAGGAGTTAAGTAGCTTGTGGAAAGTGCTCAAATATGCACTGGATCATCCTTATCAAGCAAACCTCCATGCATTGTAGTTTCTATGATGTAATGAAGTTGTTAGGTCGCTTTTTTGTGCAAGAACCCTCACAGTGCTCAAGATGATCCATGTTCTTGTTCTTGGTCATTAACATAATCCACATTCGTCATACCAAAGAAGATATTGCATCCAAAGTTGCTTACAAAAAGACAACAAGACATCGGTGGACAAATAAATCAAGTTCAAAGAACGAAGAGGAGAGAGAGAAGCTAGATCATAATGAATCTTTTAAGAAATTGTTTTACAAGGAACCTGGTTGAAGTCATGTCGACTAACACATGCAAGTCAAACTAAGCTATAGAGAAACAATTTAGATAGAAAGAGATTTCATATGATTTGATCATGTTCGTGCTAAAACAATGACCCTTATTCATAAGTGAGGATCAATGTCGATATTATAGAATTAGCTTTATAGTATAGTTTTATAAGAAATAAATAAATTGAACTTGTTGTGACTAGCCATGCAACACATAAGTTTTACTTAAATTCAACTTCAAGTTAAGGGAATTGTAGGAAAATTTCACATTAAAATGAAGGAACCCTCAACAAATTTGTCTTGCAAGAAAATAAAACTATTGTCCCAATAATTGAGCAAATGCATTCCAAAGAGTAAGTTTGGTGAATAAACATTGAGGGTCAAATTAGAGCTAACTCCTGAGAAACTTGCCTAAGATGTGACTTCAGCTTGCGTAGTTGAGTAACAATTTACATTGTCCCCTTAAGAAAATAAAAACATGACCTCTCCTTGTCCTTGACTCATCCTGATGGGCAAAATCAACTCCTCAGCTAATGTGGTTTTCTTTATTGATCACTTATGTCATGTCCTAGCACAAACCAATTCATTTAGATGTATTTGGTGGCCTAAAAGGATAGATATGTATGTCTACATTTACAATCTTTTAATGCGTACTACTGCATATTATCATCCAAATCCTCATATGAAAGAAAGCAACCGGATCAATTATAGCCCAAAGAACTTTGCAGAAGATCACTAAACTTAACTGTCTTTAGGAAGCAGTGAATATAGGCTAGAAGCTACAGTTCAAGAGTCTGGTTACAAAAAGAAGCAAAGAAACTATCACAGTACCAACAATGATATGCAAAAAATTGCACCAGGGCATGAAACTCGCACATCAAAAATGATATGAGCAGCAAGCTATATTAGATGATTTGATAACATAAAAAGGCAGCCTTCCGATTACCCGGTTTAGGAAAAGATGTATTAGATTTGAATTATATTAAAAAAGGTAGACATAAACCTAAAAAGACTTGGTTAGAAAATATTAAAAATGACATTTCTTTATTAGATTTAGATGAGAATTTGACCACTATGTGGGATAAAGGCTTTCTATTGTTGTTGTTGTAAGAGAAGAATTTAATGGAGGCAAAATTTTATTGGAGATGAAACTTATCAGTTTCTTACCAAGGAAGTTTTCCCCATGCACAAAGAGAACACAAGGCAGGGAAACCAAATCCTATTAGGAAGAGATGATAAATAAGTCCTCCAACCAAGGGCGGAACCAGCCCTAATTTTCAGGGGGGCAAACTTATAAGACATATATGTCGGGGATTCAAGGGGGCAGTGTCTTCTGGCGGGGTTCGACCTGTTGGGGGCAATTATCTAAAGACCATAGTATTTTAAAATTTTTAGGGGGGGCAATTGCATGAAAACCCTTGTAATAAAGACTAAAAAATGAATAAAAAGGGATAAATTACCTAAAAAAGCCATATAAAAAAATTAAAAAAAAATTTTGAGGGGGGGCAACTGCCCCCCCTGGAACCTAAATGGTTCCGCCCTTGCCTCCAACACATATATTCACGAATGCGCAAAGAAACCAAACAGCGGTATCAGTTATTCAGTTTATTTCTGCCATCATATTCGTCTTATTCTTGCAAAGGCAGAGCCAATTTGTTTCAAGGAGAGGACGAGTGAAGCAATCAAAATGTGAAAGGTTACAAGATTAGTCTTTCCAATATTGGTGTAAGAGAAAATGGAATATTTTTGCCATGATCCAATGCTAACTATTGTGAACTGTGAAGTATCCTTGAGCTTCAAATAGATGAATATGAAAGTAAGAAAGGCAGGAAATTATACAACAAGCACAGCCAATGAACCAGAGTAACTTCAATATAGAAACTCAACCATACAAGTCTTAAGCTCTTTCAGACAAAGCATCAAATAGATCTTTTTTTGGCAGATAACAAGAACACATAACAATAAACACGGATAAAATCAATTCAGCGAAAGCAAGCATCTGCCGCCATCATTATAAATATTACAAAATCGCCCATTTCACAGTTTACATCGCAAAACCGTAAGATCCCGAAACCATGATGGCACAAACTTCCATAAGTTATTACATGAAATTGATTCCTCAATGGTGATAAATTGAGGACAAACCTAACAAGCTAGAGTTCTAGCTTAAGCTCTTCCTTCTCCTTGGTGAGGTAATGGAGGACGATGGGAGTGACGCGGACGACGGCAACCCATAAACCCATGATCGTTAGATGCCTTTTCAGCTGCTTGTAAGCCGTCGCCTTGTCCGGTCGACGAGGAAGCGCTCCGAGGAACATCGTCGGTGTCTTCTCTCTCTCTCTTCTTGCACGATTTCTCAAATTGAATCTCGCTCTCACGCCGAAACCCTAATTGGACGATAGCGGCGTATATGCGGTAGCTGTATAAAGGCTTGCGATGGTCCGTTGGTCGAAATAGTTGCAATTGGTCTCTCTCTCTCTCTCTCTCTAGACTTTTTATTTATTTATTTATTTATTTATTTATATTAATTTGTAAGAAAAAAGTTATTTCATAAAAAATTTTAATTTTTTTAAAGCAAATTTTAACGTCTAAGAAATATGATTATTATTTATTTTTAAGAGATAAATGTAAAAGTTCATTTTAGAAAAAAAAAAATATTTTCTTATATTCTCGAACTATTTATTCAAATTCATTAGAAGAATTATTCAAGATTAGTTCAAATTCAAATATTTATTCAAGCCTTTCTTTGATTTTTTTTTTTTCCTTTCTTTTTTAAAGCGGTTTTAGTTGTTCTTAACCTTTCTTTGAACCTATTTTGATCAAGGTTTGAGTTTTGTTCGAACTTGATTCATATTTAGTTTGAACTTGATTTGAATCTTAATTTGAACCAATGTTTGATAGTTTGGTATACTCTTATAGAGTGAGTTTTGTGTTGCCAACCTTGTAATGTCTTATCTAACGAACTTTCTCGTGTTGTTAGCCTTATCTAAGTATGCCACCAGTGAACTCCCATAAACTTATCTTCTTCAGACGTGTCACCATCCAACGAGTTTTTTTGATCTAACACCGACCATGAAATTATCCACTCCTTGACATGTCGTTGCTCACATTAAAGCCTTCAATTAGTGAGAGATTGCAAACTCTTTTCTCTTTTAGAAGATGTCAGACTCCTCAATGTTCATGTTTGCACGCAAGCTTGCATTTTGAATTAGGTTCGAATCAAGATTCAAGTTGAGGTTCAAACTGAGTTTAAATTTGACCCGATTCAAATCAATTTTGATTAATTTTTCATTAAGCACTCTGCAAATGCAAGTGGTCATTCCTCATTAGGGGTAACTTTAACATAAATGAGCTTTCATACATATTTCTCTATGAAAAACATCAACCATATTTTTCTAATTTTACGTATTATAAAGAATGTAAAGTCAATTTTCCCACTCAAGTTTAACAAAAGTATAGAATTATTAGAGAAATGATATATAAAATTATTACGTGCTAGAAAATTTATGATTCTAGAGAGAGAGTTTATCTTAGTTTTGTATGAAGATCCTACACATAAAGACAAAATAAGAGAATATAAGAGACATCAAAATTTTTATATTGTAAACATACATAATAGAAAAATCAAGGGGTATGCCCCAATTAAAATAATTCCACTAGAAAGATATTGGTTATAAAGATTTGCTCATCCCCCTAAATCGAAAAAAGCAACATTACAAGATTATATATAAAATGTTGATGGAAAATGTCACAGAATTGGCAAGAGTTCAAAGGATTTCATATTGTTGTAGCCAACTGACAATGAGTGGCAGCGGTCCAACGATGGTGATTCGACGATGGGAATGTTTTATTATTGTAAGTTTGATTTGAACAATCTAATAATAATGGTCTGTGACATATTTAAGTTCAACATGTGGTTCTACCTGTTCTTACTTGATTTGGAAAAAGATAAATTTTGAACTTTTAAGCTTTGAATACATTTGCATTTCTTTAGGCGTATTTTGATGCAAGAAAATGATTGCTTGTGATCTAGAACAAGTTTTAATTGTTTTTCCAATCATAGTAGAAAAGTTGTTTTCTCGACAACTACTTCACAACGAACTTCATAAAACGCTACAACCGTCCCAAACAGATCCTTAATTAATTGTACTTACAAAATCAATCAAACATATAATCAAAGATAAGTGGGTATAAATTAACTATTAAGCTCATTGATAGAAATTAACCAAACCACATAAGCTTAAGATGATTATATACTTAAACACAGAAACAAAATATTGCAAGAGTTCAGATAAAAATTACTCAGTACAATCAAAGAAAACTATGAAGCAAATAATTATGAAAATATAAAAGACAAAATCCTTTACTATTCAAACTAAAAGATCGACCGATTAAAATAACCAAAGGAAGATTTCAAGGAAATAAAAAAAATAAAATATGTAACTTTTCTTATATCTTATTATCTTTTTTTAGTATTATTTATAGCACTACAAATGCCATACAAAAAGCTCAATAAAGTTCTCCAAAATCCCTAAAAAATCTCTTAAAAAATAGCATCTAATAGTCGTCTGATAATTTGGGGAAATTATTCTATGCGGTCACCGGATGTCGTCCGGAGGCAAATCAAGATGTGCCACATCATTTTTTTGTTGTGTACTGGATGATGTATCGCATCCTAATTTACCTCTAAACGGTCGGGTGACCGCACATGATATCTTGAGGCGTAGGCATCTCTTAAGATTGCTCTACATCAATAACTAACCCTGATTTCTCCTCTTATCAAGGGAATGATCAAGCTAAACACCAATATAATGACAGCACAAACATCTCAGAATCCTGCTATCATGACGATCAATATCTTTCACAATTTTAGTCTAATATAATATATCAATATAATTTTTAAATTATTAACTAGCACTAATGAAATCATTTTAATTGATTTATAGGTTTCGTTTGAAACAACTTTCTTACTATTTTTTTAAAACAGTTATTTAATATAAAAATTTTTTAAGCTAGAAATTTCCGTGCTAGAAAATTGTTTTATAAAGCGTTGCGAAAGCCGCTCCAATCGAAGCCATAGCTAGATTTTTTTGTAATTAGTGACAATAAACTATTTTCAAATTAAGACCTCCTAATCAATACACATGTATAAAGATAGTTACACACCATAATTTTGAACTAAATTCTGATATTGTCATTCTTTAATTTGGTGCGGTTGCTGTGTAGGTGAGCCAGAAGAAACACAGTAGCTGAAGCTGTGAAAATGGCAGCTGCAAAGCAACCAAGATCCATTCCATTCACCACAGAAACACCCTTCAACTTTTCCACCATCCCAGCTTGAAGGAGCATCATCACTGCATGCCCAATTCTTGATTTTGCCTCTGCTACAGACTTCATCTGCATCCAAGCTGGTAGCATCTGAAAAATATCATATTTAAGTTTCGTTTGAAATGACTTTCTTAATGATTCTTAAAATAATTTTTTAGTGCAAAAATTAAAATCTTCATATTAAAAAGCTGTAGTGGAAGATAGAATACGAAATGAGCATATACGTGGAAAGGTTGGAGTAGCTCCAGTGGAAGATAAGATTAGAGGGAGTCCCCTTAGATGGTTTGGCCATATTAAACGGAGGCAATCCGATGACCCGGTTAGAAAAGTTGAGGTATTAAATTTGACTTATGTTAAGAAAGGTAGAGGTAGACCTAAGAAGACTAGGTTAGAAAATATTAAAATGATTTTTCTTTATTAGATTTAAATGAAAATATGACTTTTAACTGGACACAATAGCGAAAAAGGATTCATGTAGCCGATCCCACGTAGTGGGACAAAGTCATCTCAAACGATTGAACGAAGCTTAAGCAATGGTGGTTTTTAATGATTTTTTCCGATCAATCAGACTGTTCATATTCAAGTATTTTTATAGAGAAAAATAAAAAGTTTCATTAAGAACCTGTAGATGGAAAAGGCCAAAAAGATTAGAGCGGTTCGCTAACAACCCCTTTCTTCTCCTTGGGATTTCACTATCTTCTATGAACATAGAATACAGTCCCATTCCAAACACGAGCATAGCAGTTCCCACAAGAAACATGTCTGCAAATAATGAGCATCAGAGAGTTAATTAGACCTTTATTTTCTTCTGTCTGAATTAAAAGAACAAATCAAAAAAAGAAATGATTGCATATTATGGGAAGAAATTTAGGCTCCGTTTGGGGGATTTTTATTTTGTGTGGACACCGGACAGAGAAAATCGTCCGATTTTCTCTCTGTCTATAGTAAAATCCCAATCAAAGTACAGCTGCTACAGTAACTACGGTTTACCTTATAAACAGAGAGAAAGCTGGATGATTCTCTCCGTCCGATGTCCGCACAAAATGTTTTGGACAGCTTTCTTCTACTTTAAAAAGTAATAAAAAAAAACTATCTCAAATAAAAGATTAATGAGAGATCCATTACCTGATGCTTCTAAAATAAGCTGCAGAACATCTCCTTGATCCAATCCTTTCCATATAATGAAAAAGTACTCAAAGTAAGACTTCAGTATTAGGAAGCAACCCTGATCGAATATTATAAATTTATGATCTCAAAAAAGGCTTATTTGAAATGTTTATTGTAATCCCAAAAAATATATTTTTCTTCAAACAAATCAAGTTATTTATAATTTCAAAAAATAATAATTTAAAATAGGACTAAAAAACTATAATATATCATAATTAATTTTATTAAAAAAATAATGAATTTATATACGATAACTGAAAATACTAATTAATGACCAAATATAATTCAAAATTCCAGCGGTTACATATCTTATAATATTTCTTCAGCAACTTACCTCAATAAAGCACAAAACAGATCCAACTAACGATCCGACGACCCCAATCAGTGTGAAGAAGCGACAGTTCATAATAACCTGCAAAACCATCCTCATGACTTTTACAAACTCATAAAATAAGAGAAATTTTCTCCAAATCATTTTGTTAATTTTAAGTTAAATATAATACATGAATACTCATTAAAATAGATATTATATAAATATTAAAATAAATATAATTATTTAAATTTATCAAGACAAAAAATCTGAGAGAACATCCTATGTTTTTATTTTTTTTCTAAATTTAAGAAAAGAATAAATCCAAATGAATACCTTTTCAAGAAGCACTTGAGGATTTAAATACCAGCGAAAGCTTCTTGCACGAAAATAATGAAGAGCTCCATTAATCTGTTCAACTAGAGACTTGAACACTGACACTAAACCTTCTTCTCTTCCAGTCATCTTCTTCTTCTCCACTGAGATCATTCCAGCGGCAAAACCAGCTGCCCGTATTGCTTGACTGGCTTCTGCCATCTTCTTCTTCTTCTTCAAGAGCTTCCATAGTACTCTGCTTTTACCTTTCTGATAAAACAAGTATTCATCATTACTCTGGGGGAAGTAAAGACTAGGCGAAGAAGGGAAGAGATGGAAATGGAGAGAGATGGTTGATGCCGCCATTGTTGCTGTTAAATTATGTGCTTTTTTTCTGCTGAAGCAAGAAGGAAAAGTGAACAAGAATCAAGAATGGTTTAGTTGGCTGGTGTTTATTTGTTTATATAGGTAATGGAGAAACAAGAAGAGAGCGTGAGGCCGGAGAAGGCTAAATGTATTGAAGTTTGGAAGGCAATAGTGTTAAAAGTAGAGTTTGGTTTGACTACAGAAGGCTAAAAAAACACGTGTTCTCCAACTAAAAAAATTCTTAGTACTCGGATTTAGGTCTTGATTAAGGTTTTGTTTGGGATTATTTTTTTACCGTTTTTTATAATAAATTTTAAGTATAAAAATTAAAATTTGTATGCTACAAAATAATTTTAGTTTAAAATACTTTAAAAAAAAAATAACTTTAAAGATAGTAACAAAATCATTTCAAATTAAGGTTTCGTTTGGGACATTTTATTTTACTAATTCTTAAAACAGTTTTTTAGTACAGAAGTTAAAGTTTTTGTACTAAAAAACTGCTTTAAGAATCAATAAAAAGTCATCCTAAACGAAGTCTAAGGCTTCGTTTGGGACGGCTTTCTTCCTGCTTCTTAAAACAGCTTTTTAGTTAAAAAGTTAAATTTTTTATACTAAAAAGCCGATTTAAGAAGCAGAAAGAAAGCCGTCCCAAACAAAGCCTAAATCTTAATGTTTTAGCAAGTTATTTTTAGAAACAACTTTAGTATATATTTGTGCTTTATTTTTTATGTTTTGTAATATTAAAAATTATAGGTCCACTCCTTCATGAAAAAAATTATTTGTGCCTTATTTTTTTCATTTTTATTTATTTTTTCTAATTTAATAAAAAACTTTGTAACATACAAAATTTTGAATTCTAAAATATTTTACTTATTTTATATTTCTTAGCAATCACAACAATAATAAAAAATCATAATCCTTTTTTAACAAAAGGTTATTAAAATTAATGGAAAAATAGTATGTTATAGTTAAGAAAATTGTAATGACGCAATTTGCGGACCAAAATTCGCCTTCTTTGGCATATGAAACGAACGGTTGAAGTTTTATTTATTGTTGTTAAGAATAAAAAAAAAAGTTTGCTAATTTGTCTCGTGGCGGAGGGGAAGGTGGTTGGAAAGGCCGTCGCTTGGAAACGGACGGTGGAGAAGGCGTTTAATTTCTTGATGCCGCCGCGTGAGAGTTTCGCCGAGCAGAATGTTCCAGAATAATACCTTTGACTAACGACGACGGAGTTCATTTTTCCTGCATTTGAATTCTGTAGCAGCTGGCTTCATTTCCACGGCAGAAATTTATGTGACACGATTTTTCGTATAATTTGTATTCGTTTAGTTCATTTTTTGCCATTGTTTTTTTTTATGGGTAAAAGAAAAAAATATTATTCTCGTGCAAAATATGGGCTGTAATTTATATTCTAGGGTGATTGAGGAGAGTGCCCTTCATTCTTCAAGCTAGGGCAAGTGTCCCCCGAGTTGAAGGAGAGATTATTACGTGCGGAATTCGAACACATAGAAATGTTCGGTTTTGTTATTGTAAACAGTAAAGTGCAGCACCGAACAATAAAAGCACAGTAATGAGCAGTAACTATGCTTTAATTGTTTACAATTACAAAATGAACGGTTCTCTATGTCCGGACTCCGCACGTAACAATCTGTTTAGTTGAGGTGAACGCTCCTGGGATTATGGTGATTAATGTTTCATTTGGAATAATTTTTAACTACTTTCTAAAGTAGTTTTATAGTACAAAAGTTTTAAGTTCAAAAACTCTTGTACTAAAAGACTACTTTACAAAACAGTCTCAACCGAGATCTAAGACAAGTGTTCATCAAGCTGAGGGAAGTACTCCACTGGCTGAGACGAGTGCTCCTTCAATTTAAGGTGATTACTCCTCATGTTGGGGCAAATGCCCATCAAATTATTGTAGGTGACTTATGATGGATGTGTTGTCGTCTGCCTAATCTCCCAAATTCATCTAGATTTGTATATAAGAGTATCTGATTTAAAATTAAAAATAAAAATTTTACTACAAATAGGTCTTTATTCAAAAGTCCAAGCCTGAACATTTCTCATTATTCAGCAAAAAGGGGATTTTTACATACCTAACATTTAAAACTATCTTATTTACTCATCGAAAACCAAAAGTTCTCTATTTACACATCTACCACTTAAAACCTATTTATTTCATTTGAAATGTCACTCTTGTTACCTCCTGTCAAAACAACATACCGATACGAAAGTCAGTGTTGCACGCAACAACTTTTATTCACTCAACAACTTCTGTTCTCATTGTCATTTCGTCTTCTCCATTTCTTCGCCTAAGTATGGTGTTTGTCTTCTCCATTTCTCTATGTAGGTTAGAAAAATGACTTCTCCATTTCTTTGTTTAGGGTTGTTCTTCATCTAGGTTTGTTGTTTGTCTACTCCATTTCTTCGCTGGGCTTTGGATTTGGCCTCGACAGTCTTGCCACTAGGTCGCCTAGATTATTTCCTCATCTGAGTTTCTCCATTTGTTATTATTCTATTCAATTTCTTCGCCAGGTCTGCTGTTCGGCTATCCATCCTATTAAACGGATACCAAACGGATACAATTCTTTCAAAACAGCAATCAGGACATCTCTTCAACCCATTACCTTAGATGATCTCTACTCATTACTGTGCAGCGAAGAAATCAATCTCCAGCACCAAAATCTTCAAGATCAACGACAGATGGAAGCCACGGCACTCCTGGCTCAACGACAGTCAAATTACAGGGGAAGATCAAATAAATCACGCTATGTTGCGACCGCTCCCAGAACTTCGACGGCGACTGATAATCAAGAATCATCAAGAACCTCTGTCAACCGTCCTACATGTCAAATCTGCGGCAAGCGAGGACATTCAGCCGGGAACTGTTGGCATCCCTGCAATTTAAACTATGCCCCTCCCTCCACTCAGCGCGCTCTCTCCGCCCAGCATCAAACTGCAAACAACGACTGGATCCTCGACTCAGGCGCTTCCTCTCATCTGACCTCCGATCTGACGAACATCCAAAACCCAGTCGCGTACAATGGAATGGACTCGGTATCCATTGCAAACGGATCAACTCTCCCAATTCAGCACTCGGGTCAGGGGATCCTACCTTTACCCGAGTCCAATCGTAAGCTTCTTCTTCGCAACATACGTCACGTACCCTCCCTCTCACATAATCTGATTTCTGTTTCAAATTTGGCCGCTGACAATAATCTCTCTATCTCTTTTAATGCTAACAATTTTACCATTAAGGATTGTCAGGACAACAGGATTCTTCTGCAAGGTCCCAAGCTCAATGGTCTTTATCAAATCAAAGCTCCTACGCGCAATAGACCGATTGCGCTGTGTTCTACTAGGTCGTTCAACTACACTTGGCACAACAGGCTCGGGCATCCTAGCACGGGAACCATCCGTCATCTTGCAGCACTCATCCCGGAGATCTCCAATCGTTCCACTGATTTGTGCGTAGCTTGTAATCTCTCCCGAAGCCACAAGCTACCCTTTAATACTAGCAGCTCTATCTGTAATAAACCGTTTGAACTCGTTCATTCGGACGTCTGGGGTCCAGCCCCCGTCCCTTCTACGACTGGTTTTAAGTACTACGTGATTTTCATAGACGATTTTTCCCGCTTTACTTGGTTGTATCTTTTGCATAATAA